CATTGGACCATTTCAGATTTTGGAGCACGTCAGTGAAGTTGCTTATCGTTTGGCATTGCCGCCAGACCTGGATAGGGTTCACGACGTCTTTCATGTATCTATGTTGAGGAAGTACGAGCCGGATCTATCGCATGTTTTACGGTGGACAGATGTTGTTGTTGATAAGGATGTGACCTACGAGGAGGCTCTAGTCCAGATTCTTGATTCACGGGAGCAAGTTGTGCGGACCAAGACCATTCCATTGGTTAAGGTCTTGTAGAGACATCATGGCGTTGAGGAGGCTACCTGGGAGCTTGAGCAGGAGGTTCGCTCTCAGTATCCCCATTTGTTTTCTCTTTCAGGTACGACTCGATTTCGGGGACGAAATCCTTTTAAGGAGGGTAGGTTGTAATGACCCGGTCTTTTTCCTCCTTTTATTTTTTCGGTGATTTTCTTTTTTTCGTCTTTTTCTTATTTTGTCTTTTCCTTATTTCATTTTTTTTCCCGTTTATCAATTTTTCCTTGCATAACCTCACTTCTTGTGCTCGGGTTTGATTCCGATTTTGCATGCATCCATGATATTTGATTTCCATGATGTTTGTATTTTTACTTTTGTAGAAAGCATGTTAATTGCTTACTTTTTCATAAAAGTCATGGGTGCATACTTTATTGTAATTATTCATTATTTTTGGAATTTTTGTGTAATTACCTAAAGTAATTATTTTTCATCTTAGGGACCATTTTGTAATTTATTTTGGAAGATATTTTCAAAAAGGACCTTTTTGCAATTTTTAGAAAATGTGACAAGTGTCATATTCTCATAGTGCCACTTGTTGGCAATGGGGTGGAGTGATTTGGATGTGTAATCTTTTGACATTTGGAGGGTGGAGATTCACCCACGTGTTGGCCTAGGATTGGTGCACTTGTTGGCTTAGATGGTTGACAAGTGTAGGCTTAAGATTGAGCCTAGGAAAGAGCATTGGATTTGTGACAAGTGTAGGATCATGATTTAGTCTTGCATTGTGTGTGAGAGAGAGGTAGTGTAAGAACACATAGTAAGTGGAGGATTTCTAGCCCTTCCACTCACCATTTCACACTTTATCTTTTGCATTTCACATGTTCTTCAAGAACCTTAGCCTAGCCACCATTGGAGAAAAACTTAGTTAATAGCTTTGACTGCCTCCTTTCATTCACCCTAGACTTAAAACTTTGGAACACAAAAGTTTCCCCTCACTCTCTTCTTCATTAACCCTAAACTTGTTTTACATTTTGAGCTTGCTTGCTTGGATTATAGAGATTCAATTCTCTATTGAGGTAGGGGTGGTAGTATGTTTATATTTTAAGTGTTTTATAATCCTTGGGGTTTAATATATATTGTATACATGCTTTTAATATGATAGTCTTGTATATTATAGGAAACCCTTATATCTTGACTTAAGGTTTATGGATTTAAGCATGTATGATATGTATAAACCATGTGTAGAAGGATTATATAATTTAGTAGTATGCTAAATTCTTGTATTTTCACATGTAGTGATGATATAGAACTCTTGTGGAATTATTAATGTTATATGCAATTTCCATTGACTTGAATTGCTATATTTGTTAAGATAATAATTCTATGTTCTTGTGGATTACAAATTGTAAATAATATAGAAGCTTATTGCTTTAAATGTTGATATTTAGTGTATAAAACTTATTGTTGAGGCATGATTGAAATTGATGAGTTAGTGGTATGATATTGTGCATAATATCATGATGATGACTTGTCATTTAGCATGCCATTCTAGACTTGGAACCCTAAGACATGGTTTGTGTGGTTTCAAAGTACTTGTGCTTGTAAGGTGGTTGATATGCCTTATTATCTATGTATAAGTTTGAACTTGATATATTTTGGATTCTCTTGGGACATTGTTACAATGACATGGCTAAAGTTTGGCTTTAGTGCGGGAGGTATGAGTTCTCCCCAATTGAGATAGTGCGCACTAGGGTGGTTTTCCCAGCAGGGTAATGCCCGGAATAACCATTTTGATCTTGGTTTAGTCCGAGACGTGATGTCCAAGTATTCCACTAGTTGATTTCGCATTAAATTCCAAGTTGACAACCAATGCTTAATTGTAACTTGTGATTTTCGTTATTGGCGAATTGATGTTATTAAGTACATTGATATTGATATGTGTTGCTAAGAAATATTTAAGTTAGCTTAAGATGATCCCTTAGAACACCTTGAACATAGACATTAAGTGGAATGTTCCCTTGTATTCGTCTATATTGATCTTGCAATGATATTGAAACTTTAGGGTATACGCATATGCTTCTTCCTACGAGTAACTTGATTACTCACCCTAATGGTTTTGGTTATTTTTCAGGTAAGAAGACTATGTTCTTGGATGCTCATCATCCTTAGAGGCTAATGAGCAATTTGGACCATTTTTGTATATTGACATGCAAATGTTTAGAATGCTTTTCTTTTAATGTTATATTTTTGCATACCATGGATGTATGGTATTTTTGAGGCTAATGTAGCTACCTTAATGTGTAATGATACTTAAGTACTTACTTTTGATATTAGAAGCATATATGTATGGAGGCCAAGGGCCAAGCATGTTTAAATTAGTACTTGTATCCATTAGGTGCCAACTTTTCTTTAAAAATGTATTTTAACCATCTTGGAGGTTTGCCACATGAAATTCTTGTGAATGACATGTTCATATGTTCAATCTTCCTTAAAATGAATTAATTTTTGATCTATGCATGTGGGTAGAATGAATCACATAGGTTCCATTGCAATTCCATATGTTTGGAGGAGCTTTCAGTAGCATTTCGAGGAGTTTCGGTCGACCGAAACTCCATCTCGGTCGATCGATCCCTTTTTGAGACCAAATGAACAGTAAAAATCAACCTTTAGAAAACATTCTGTGAGTTTCGGGCGACCGAAACTCTAAGTCGGTCAACCGAAATAGCCCCTGTGCACCAGCACTTCCAGATTTCAATTTAGCACTGATGATCCAACTTCGAAAGACCATAACTCCTTCGTTCCTTATCCAAATGGGGTGATTTTTGAGCCTAAACTCAAGAATTTTGAGTCATATTTCCAATGGTACTTATGCCATTTTCAGATTCTAAACATTGTGGAAGTTATTCATGTTTTAGTGAGGTAGGGTCAGTTTTCACCTAAACTAGGAAAGGGCAACTTGTGGGATTCTTGGCCAATGTTCTTAAAACCTGTTGGAATGTCTTGAAATGGTTAGATTAGGTTGTATTCACCTTATTTAACTTGTTTTGAGTCAAGTTTCTCTCTTTAATTGTGAATTGACTGTTTTGCCCTTCATTATCGGATTTTGCCCGTTTCAACTCTAGCTTCCTGTTTTGCTCTCTTTAACTTCCGTAACCTTATGGAATGTCACATTGATGTATTAGAGATGGTTTATATCTCAAAGGATTATGATTTCATCTTTTGCTTCTGCATTTCGAATCCGTTATCGGATTAACTTTTGGTTCATCACTGACACACCAGGTTGAAAAACTTGGGCCGTCACATAATACATCAACACTAAGCATGCTTGTTCACACAAAAGGTTTAATCATATTTCTAAACTCACTTAACACCTAGCATGCCTTTATCACTTAAATACCAACAATCACAATAAACATAATCAAGACAAAATTAAATTTAAGCATGCTTAGAGTCTAATTAAAAAAAAATAAAAAAAAAAAAAAACTTCACAAGAAATCTAAGAAATTGTATATTAGAACACTCTTATCTCAAAATGATGAAAACCCCCAATTTGAACCCTAAATTTTGAATTTTCTAGGATGCACCAAATGATAAATTGCTTACACCCATGCGTAGATCTCGTTGAACTCTTCGTTTTGTCGCAAACGGCACCAAAAATCTCCTAACGGTTGGGGATTAATCAAAACTTGAAATTTGAGAAGAAAGAAAAAAGAAAAAGAGAAGAGAAGGAGAAGGCTTATCAGAAAGGGAGAGAAAAAGAAGTGAGGCCAAAAACATAGCCTCTTGGCCACATTAAAAAAATAATAATAAATAAATATAATAATAAAAATTAGTGGTGGGTCCCACCACCAAAAACTTTCCTTTGACTTTTTTTTTTCTTTTTAAAATTTATTACCACACATATATATATAAATATATAAATATCACAAACATTACCGTAATCATTTTTCTCTTGGGATTGTGGAGAGAGAGAGAGAGAGAGAGAGAGTAGAAAGCAAAATTGAACATTTGAGGTGAAGAAGGTGAAAAAATGAAAAAAAAAATTGAGGGTATGAAAATTGAAATACAACTCAATTGTTGCCTTTTTAATTGTTGTTTGGTGGATCCATACACATAGTATAAGAAGCAATATTCAAATATAGTATACGTTTTTTACCTTCTGTACTTTTACTTTGTATTTTGCTCATTTTACTATCTCACCGGCTGGGACATATCACTGGCGCTAGAGGCGATTTTGATCCCTTCAGTTCGGGGGGTTTAAGCGAACAAATGTGCGAAAACTTGCCCAAAAAAATAATAAAAAAATGTACAACAAACATTTAATAGGCGATAAGAATGTTCATTACCTTGTTGCCCCTTGTCTCCTAAGTACACCTATATTTATTTCTGCAACCATGCATTGTTCCAAGTGATAATTTAATTTTTTATGATTTCACTGGCATTGCGAGATAAATCAATAGGAGTAGATATAATTTCTTGTGTCCAATGAAATCTTATTTTTCCAATTATAGTGTCTTAGACAAATAGCAATCTAGTGCTAAAAATTAACGTATTGGTGGTATTCAACTATGGTTCTTTGAATCAAGAAATTCATGAATATGCCATGCTAGCGTGCTGTGGTCTGAAATGATTTTACTCTGGCGAATTATTCTGAAGTGTGGTCGACAAAATAAGGACAAAGAAACGCACAAGAACTAATGGCATCTTACTGTTGTCGAAAGGACAAAAATGTAATTACATTGTAAGGACAAAAATGCAATTTGCCCACTTCAAGACCACAAGATTAAAACAAAGAATTCAACATTGCATATTGTTGGCGAAAATTGTTACAATTTGAATACAATATGAATACAAACCTCGACATCACAGGCATTTCATACTACTGCCCTGGCACCAATAATTCAATGTTGCCTTCATTGTGTTCCTACAAATAGATTGAAGATAATCACTGTTGCTCAAGCTTCACTTGTGTATTGAGTACTTTCAGCATTTGCAGTACAAGAACAACGGAATGTCCATCTGCATTGCATCCTGTGAGGTCCATTAGCTTACCTTACAGGTTGCAGCCCACTTCTGTCAAAATTGAAGCAGAGTTGGACAAGCTTAAAGCATGGAAAGCATCATCAGAATCTGCAACAAGAAGCATTAGGAGCCGAAACTATTCAAGAAGGCCTAGTTGGGCTCACGGAGTTGTATGCTTGTATTGAGGAACTCATTAGCGCTCTGCTCCACCCAACAAGCTCTTCACCATCAAAATGAAAAAGTAGTGGAAGAGGCACTAGATGGCTCAGGGACATTGCTGGACACATGTGGCACTGCACGGGATATCTTGTCGATGATGAAGGAACATTTGCAGCGCCTTCAATAAGCTTTACGAAGGATGACTGGTGAATCAAGCATCAAATGTAGTATTAGCGCTTACATTAGCTTCAGGAAGAAGGCTAAAAAAGACATCTCCGAGTGCATCAGAGCATTGAAGCCAATTGAAAGCAAAACCAGAGCATTTCCTGCCCTAGTTTTAGATGATCACTTGTCAATGTTGGTTAAATTGCTAAGAGAAGTTAGTACTACAGTCATATCCGTTTTTCGATCTCTTTTGCTATTCTTGTCCATGCCAGCGATGAAGAGCAAGTCTGGTGGGTGGTCATTGATATCCAAACTGATGTCTACAGGGTTAGATGTTCATGAGAAGCGTAGGAAGATAATCAATGAAGTGGTGAGTGTAGATGTTGCTCTTTGTAACCTCTATGGGTATGTGCAACACAATGATGTGAAGGCAGAACTGCAAATGGTGCAGAGGAAGATGGAGATGCTTGCTGCTGGCAGTGGCATGGATAGCCGTGAGACTGGACTAGATTTCACGTTTACATGTCTAATTCAGTTCGTATTCTAGATTTTACTTGCTTTTCACCACTGCATGCTCTGCAAGCCATTGTTTACCAAAAAAAAAAAAAAACTTGATCAGTAACATAACATGCCACCTCAGTAGCACTTGCAAGTAGTTACTATCTCACATGATAAGAAATTAAATATATGTGGTTTAATATATTAGTATGATGTTATTTGCTTAATAGATATCCTATTCCTCTCAGCAACGCCTTGTCGTGAACCTTTTTCAGATTAGCCTGCATTTTCAGACTGGTTGGATCCATTACATATAAGACTTTTACACATCCCTTTGGTTTTCTTGAGGTTGTAGAAATTGCTGAATATCATCTATTTAGGTGATTAATTGTAGCTATCAGAAGTTAGAGAGATTTAGTTACAACCAAGGTTGCAACTGGATTTCCTAGGCCTTCTTGAAATGTTATATCGAAGACTGTTTCAGTGGTGGTCCTTATGCATCATTCAGAAAGCACTATACTGAACCACATAGTGCAACTTAGAACTCTAGGTTGGAGTGTTTCGTCCAACTTCAGAGAAACTTTTATTGACATTTTCCTATGATTTATTCGAGTAAAATCTGATTTTTTATGTTCTTCATCTCCATTGATTGTGAAGCTTTATGATTCGTCTTTTGCTTGCTGCTCTCTTGATGGGTGATGAATCAAAGGATTTCTTCCCAACAAGTTCATGGGTGCCATTTCAAAAGAAGTAAATATGTAGGAAGCAGATTGTGTGTCAGTGCTACCAGGGGAAGCATAACAACTATAACCAATCCACTAATAACCGACTCAGAAAATTCCAGTTAACAAATATATTCCATATATCACTAAATGAAATGTGAAAAATTTACTGAAAAGTACTAGTATGAAAAAAATAATAATGATAAGGGTACGTCTGAATGTTCCTTTCCCTTTTTATTCAATTTTTTTTTTTTTTTTTGCACGCACTTGGAAATGAAGATCACAGCTAAAATAAGGAGTAGGTTGAACAATTGACCCATTATCATCCCCATTTTTTGGAATTATTTTTGTTTATTTTATTTTTGTGTACTTGGAATCATATATTTATATTCTACCATATAAAGTATGCAGCTAGTCTGTACAACAAAGGAATAGCTGTGCTTCCCCTCAAATAATGCATGATACAATACAAAACATCTTTAAGACCAAAAATAAAGAAATAAATTATGAAAGGTTTTGTCTTAAAATTGAGAACACACAAAAAGAATATGTTGTGCAAAAATAATTTAGGCTTAAATCATGCATAATGTCCATTTTAAGTGCCGCGAACAAAAAAATTGTATTATTTGGGATAATATTATTCAGGCTTTTAGTAATCATAAGGGAAAAAAAAGTCCATTCCAACAAATGATTAGCAGATGGATCGAGTGATACAACAGCAAATGAGTATAGAGTATAGATGCTTGTTTGGAGTAACTCAGTACGTATCGAATGCCTTATATTATGTATTGCATTTGGTAATTAAATGCATTTAGATGGATATTTAAACACCACCCAGAACTAAAAATGATTCATTTTGTAGTTTGTACACGCCATCTGCAATGAATATGTTTTGCATATCAAGCAAACTACGGCTCCATTTGGATTCAAGGATTTCAAATGGATAAATTTATGTTAAATTGTTTAAGAAGTGTATTTAATATTTAGATTTTACAATTTATGTTCCAGTTTTTAGAACATGCATGGATTGGTTTGACAGGATTATATGTATGGATTTCAAATAAAAAGGTACAAGGAGTTATATTTGAAATCCATGCCAATAAGGATTTTAGTTGCACAAGGATTGTAATAAAAACTGTATTCCATGCTCTGGGATCCAATTCCAGGAAGCCAACCTTTTTATTTAAACCCAAATCTCCTTGATGGCTCGATTTCAAATTCATTCATTTGTCCAAATGAAACATAAATGTTATTCTTTTCCATATGTCCAATCATCTTCGAGGAATTCAACTAAGGAGTCAGTCCAACTCTTTATCATCGTTAGTTTGTGAAGGTCCTTTTTTTCCCCCCACTTTGTTCAAAGGAGGGGGAAGAAGATGATTCATGTTAGAATATGCATCATTTTATTACTCCTCAAGACTATGTCTACCAGGTTTTAGAATATGAGCCAAAAACCAAAAGGATTCATGTTAAGAAAGAATTTAGAAGAAGGATACCTTATGATGAATTATCATCTCCTATAAGGCTGAAAGTGATAATGTTGGAATTCTGAACCAAAAGTTATGGACTCTTCATCAAGCTTTTTCTTCAATCTTCTCCAAGTTCTCAACATATCAGCTTGTATCAAGCCTCGGTATAGTGTCTCAAAAGTAACCTTCTGTGGAAGAAACCCCTTCTCTACCATCTCTACAAAAAACTGGCAAGCCTCTCTCCACTTCTGTTTCTCGCATAATCCATGAATCAACAATGTATATGAATCCAAATCTGGTCCAAACCCATTGGCCTTCATATCATCCCATAACTCTCTCACAATATCCATGCGATTTAATTTGATAAACATTCCCACTAATATGTTATAAGTGTGCAAACTGAGTAAGCACAAAGAGTCTTCCTTCATTTTTTGATACAATTTCAAAGCACTATCTGCATCCTCCCTTCCCCTATACTCCTTAAAGAAGCAGTTATAAGTCGCAGCGGATACAGTAACCCCATTGCATACCATCTCATTGAGCAATTCCTCGGCTTCCACGAGTCTCCCACATGAACAAAGGCATTTCACAACAGATGTATAGGTCGCCACTGTAGGACACAACCCTTTATCTTTCATCATCTTCAACTTATCGAGTGATAAATCGGGTTTATGCGCCCGACTATAAACATGAAGCACAATCGAATAACTCGTGACATCAGGTTCAATCCCTCTATCACGCATTTCAACAAGCAGGTTCTCTGCGGCTCGAATTGTCCTCTCAAACCGGTCCTCCGGATGCAGACTGGACCTCCGACAAATACCATTCAAAAGCACATTATAAGTGACAACATTCGGCTCAATCCCATGATCCACCATCTCTACAAAGAACTTCTCCGCCATACGTGGCTTATTTATCTTACACCACCCATATATCAAAACCGTGTACAATTTCGATTCGGGCTCGAAAATGTGTTTCCTTTTGTTGAATATCTCTGTCGCAAGTTTCACATAACCATACTTACAGAGCGTATCGAGAAGATAACAGAAATCGTCTCTATTTGCTCCTTGTTCCACAAAGCATTCCATGTCATCGAATGCTCGAACCGCCTGGCGAGTTAAACCAGCCGAAACTAACCTACGAATCAATATTCTGAAAGTGTTGGAAGTGGGTTTTGCATTTTGTTGTTGATCCATCTCGATGACCAATTGCCAGACGACGTCGAATTGTCTAACTTTACCCAAAATGTCGATCATGAGGTCGTAGGCGGTGACATCGTGTTGGTAATCCCCGGGTTGGTCTTTGGCCCAGCAGAAGAATCCAAATGCAATCTTGGAGACATTTTTAAGGCGAATTAGGGTTTGGTGGACGAGTTGGGACGAAACCCTAATGCCATTGAGTTGCAGAGAGGACTCCATGATGTGGAAAGGGTTGTGGTGTTGGATAAGTAAGTTGGAGACCAATTGGGCGTCGTGTGATGTGGGTTGGAGTGAAGGAAGATAGTGTTTTGGGGTTTGTGAACAGAACCCTAGCTCTGGTTCTAGTTCAAGGTCAGTAATAGTAGTAGTAGTGTTGGGATCCAAGTGGGAAGAGAAGGAGCGGATGGCAGATAAAAGACAGATGGGGGTGGTGATGGGACGAGCACGGCCCAAGCTCAACGCCATCCAGAGTTTTCCGCTTTTTCGAAATTATGGAAAGAAAATGAGGAATTTGGGTATGGAGTTGGGGTTTTTGAAGTAGTGAAAGAGCAATAAACGGTTGTGGAAGTACCTGAAAGGAAAAAAGCGGTCATATGATTGACATTCTGGAACCGCTGTCCTGGATTTTTCTCAATCGAAGGTTTGTTGGATGAATACCGGGTTTTTTTGATTTTATATATTTTTAGGATTTGAGAGCACAACCAGTTGAGGTGGGTGGACCGAGTGGAGCGGGTGGTCAGCTTGCAAGCTGTGAAAAATGGGCCAGTTCGTAGCCCATTTTTGGAAAGTTTGACACTGTTACAACCCCGGATGGTGTTTGTCACACCCGAACAGGACGATTTTCTAGTAAACCGCCCATTTTGCAAGTAAGTGGCGAGCTCGAACCGGCCCACCCAGCAAACAATTTAGCGTTTTAACAAAATAAATAGGGGATACAGGGAGGGGTCGGTGGGTTAAGATTGTAACTTTGCTCTCTATTAAAATATTTACTTAGTTCATCTGCTGCAGCAGTCTCTACGAAATTGTGCTCTCTAAATTAACCAATTTTTTTTCAGAATCACGTAGGCTGCTTCTGCTTTCTAGATTTTGGCGCTGTAGCAGTTTCTGTTGATGCTAAAATCGGCTCCTAAGATCCGATTCTTAATTTGAGATTTTGCAGGCATGCCATAACCAAATATATAGTTTGATGGTACGTTGTCAATTTGCAGTCTCTAAAAAGATGGTTGACTTCAGGCAATTATAGTAAAAAGATAACAAATAAACTCCTTAATGAGTTCCATTTGCCTTAGTTAAAAGGACTTTGCAATGAATAAATTATAGTAACAGTTGAGAGAATAGAAAAGGGAAGAAGTAGATACCGAAAGAAATATTGATAGAAAGATTGAGAGAGAAAGAGAGAGAAATAGAGCGAGAGATTGAGAGAGAAATAGAGCGAGAGAGACTGAGAGAGATAAAAAGAAAAGAGAAATAAATGCAAGGATGCTATTCTGGGAAAGGCCTGAGAAAGCAAACAAATAAATAAATTGATTCTACGTGTGCTGGACCTCTTGTGCAGCATACCTCTTTGATTATTTATAAAATAAATCGTAGAAACAAACTCCTACAAACAAGTACCCTAATTACATTACAACTTTATCACATAATTAAATTATGAATTCAAAATAGACTAAACCTATAGATAAACATCCTTCTGCAACAAAATAAATACTTCCTATCTATTTGTTATTACCACCTATTCAAATCAACTCTAATCTGTTATGTTTTCAAACAAAGCCCATGCATATCCACTTATACAAATCGATATTCCACCTGTAGCTAGAGTTTTTAACCCATGCTAGACAACCAAATCCTTCAATCCAATTCTAATGTAACTTCAGCCCATTCTCTTCTTGCAGTTCACAACTCTGCCACATCACTGCACTTTAAGCTCACTCGAAGCTAAAGCCCAATTGCTTAATTCGAGTCCCATGTCTATATGGTTCAAACTTTTACTATGTCATTATTCACCAGGCCCAATTAGAGTCCAAACCCAATTACCAAAATGGGTGTCAACAATGCCCCCCAATTTTGGTAGCCGTTTGGAATTAGGCTTCTAAATTTGAACTAACAGCCATTGTATTATGACTTCGCATACACTGTATAATTTCTAATCTCCATCATGGTTTTAGTTTCCAAGGCTGCCGATTCCAATACCCTATCTAATCAGTCATTACAACTGCCGTAACCCTCTCGTCTTTCAATTACTTTCACTTCAATTACCACCATACATCAAACTCTCATTGAAACACAACTCTGCTATTGCATTTTTCTCTCTGCAACCTTCATCTTCTTCATCAAATCAAAACTCTTTTCTCTTTCATCATGTCTTCAAAAACGCAAAAACAATACACTGGTCTTGTTTTGAAAACTCCTATACCAGAATCTACTTCGCATACATAAATGACCAAAAAAGCAATCAAAACCCTAGCATCTTCTGAAGTCGATACTTCGATTCTTATTGATTTACCCAATAACGCTAAAGGCCTTGGACTAGCATTTATCAATCGATTGCCTCCATTGTTGGCCCCGTTTTACCCCCAAAGAGAGGACCATCTTCCTTTTTCCAAACCGATTTACCAAACTGCATAAGGTAAACGGCCATCTTTATCAATTAGGAACTGGCACCCTCCCATGCTTCAATGGAGTGAGTGGGTGGACCGTGTCTCTGCAGTAAAAGGTGAACTGTGGAAATGCATGGGCATATTTGACATTATCCAACTAAGTAAGATCCCTTTGACTTTAGATAGATCTCTATTTTTCACATCTTTGCACTTCTGGTCTCCCACGACTAACTCACTACACCTGCACTGTGGGATGACGTCACCCACCCTTTGTGATGTATGCTTTCTAACTGGTTTCAAACCTGGAAGAGATGACATCAATTATCTCCTTCAAGACCCCGAAACAACATTTAATTTCCCTGAACAAGAAAGATCTAAACCATTCATCCAATCTCATGGCCCATTCTTGAAAGAAATGCTTGGTGATTTCGGGTCTGAAGTAAATGAATACGAACACATAGGATTTTTATTTTTGTGGTTGTGCAGACACCTGTTATGTGCCCCTGCCATTCAAATTACCAAAGATCTAACCCAACTGGCCATTGCTTTATCCAAAGGTAGAGCCATGGCTTTGGCGCCATTTCTCTTGGCGTCATTATACCGAGGAATATCAGACCTCATTGTATCAAAATTTTCAAGGTCTGGAGGACAGTTTTAGCTCTATCAATTCTGGCTAAAGGCTTACTTCCCTGAATTGTCACTCCCTATTCAACTTACAGCAAGTGACCCCTTGATATCCTTTGGTTATGCCGGAGCTAAACCCAAAAATCAATCTTTCCTGGATTGTTTTCGTTTCTTTTATCACCAATGTACCTTCCGAACCTGTACTCAATTTCTTCCCTTTGCAAACTGTCGATTAGCCTCTTCTTGGCTATTTCGTCCTACAGCTGAGTCTTTTACTAAGCAAGTAGAAGCATATAAAAATTCTTGGGGTCACTTTCTAATTGCCAGAGACATTTCTTGCAACACTGTTGTTCCTTATATTGCTAAAAGCAGGACTAGAGAGAGTTCTGCAACCCATCACAATTGGCCAGACAATTTGGGTTAACCCAAATGATCCTCGTACCCTCTCATTTCTCATACAACAAGAACTACCATAGGAGAGTTAAACTTTCAGATACCGATCAAATCAGAGAAGTAAACAATAAATTTCAACAATCCCTACAAAGTTTCCAATATACAGAATTTGCAGCAGAACCTGGTACTGACCCATTCTTTGAGAAATGGTGGTTAGCGTATGTTAATTTTACCAGGACTCAGGATTCTACCCAGTTGACTCACAATCTTCTTGGGTCATACAAGTTCATATCTCTATCCTTTCAAGGTGGAAAGACCATTTCACCTGTTGTGCTTTTACCACCCCCTAAACCAGAGAGCATTCCTACAAAATCAGCTAGTCAGCCACCTCTTGTAGCTAATGCTGGCTGAACAAGGTCTCGTTCTCGGCAAAGTAAGTTATCACCTTCTTAATTTGTCTTTTGTATATTAATAAGATAAGTTTTTTGTATAATTTTCCTTTCCTCCCAACTGCAGGTGTGCCCTCCACTATTCCAGAAAAGACAGCTCTAGTCAAAACAGAAAACATTCCTATCGATTTTTATGTCCCTTTTCAAAGTATACCCCTAGTATCAGCTACTACTCAAGCAACACTGATAAACAAACCATACTCATTCTGTAATACATCTCATTTTACTTGCTAACACTTCTTTTCCAAAAGAAAACAAGGAAGAAGATTGTTGAAAAGAAGCCTGCCAGAAAATCAACGGCTAAAAGACACTTCATCTCGATTGATGATGATGATGATGTAGATGAAGATGAAGTTGTGTCCAAGAAAAGGAAATCTGCCACTAAAACTGTCATGGTAAAATTCCTTGATGCCTGATTATATTTTTGCTCATGTAGTATTACTAAATCGACATTATTTTCAAGAAACTCCACCTTCTTCAGAGCAAAAATCAAGTCAGGACTTTACCGTGGACAACCTTGAAAAGGAAAAGGTTGAAATTTCAATGGAGCATGAACACAGATCTCCTGAAAAGATCTCTTCAGCTTCTTCTCAACATCTAGCTTCAACTCCAATGAATGAACAGATTGGAGATTCTAAGGAAGTAAGTATCTAAAATGAATATATTACTTGGTTATTTGTGATAATTGAAACTGATTCAAAATCTCTTAGTTACAGAAAGACCCTGCTCCTCCGGTTGTGCTTGCAAGATCCAACCCAAGTTCACTATTCACCACTTTGGACTCTCTATTTGATTCCGTGTTTGACTTCATATATTCTGAACCCCCTGCAATCCCAACCGAGAACACCACTGAAATTTCAATGGAAGTGGTTAAGGCTATGCAGATATTATTCCAAATGTTTCAACAGGATCTGTTCTTAATCCCTTCCTTCAAGGAAGAACTTACTGAGACCTTTTCCTTCCTGAGTAGTTACCCAGGATTTTCTTTGAAGGATCAATCCTTTTTCAAGAATGTTCAACTTGAAGTTCCATCCATGATTGATGCTTATGTTGAATCAACTCAAACCATTAACCAATATACTGCTCAAATCCAAGAAAAAGAATTGCTTTCCCAAGCTTTGAAGAATGGAAGAGAATTGCATCTGTCCTTAAAGAAAGAAGCTGCCGAACTAGATGCTAGAGAGAAGAAACTTCAGGCACAACTAGCTCAGCTTCAATAAGATAAATCCCAACTCGGCAACAAGCTGGCAGAACTGAAGAAACAAGTAGAAGTTGTTGCCCCCAAGTTTAAAGTACTACAGTCCCAGATGCCAAGGTTAGAACAGTCTAAACAACAAGCAGAAATCAAGCTTACCAATACCAAGGCCTCATGGGCAGATATGAAGGCCAAGTTTGAAGGTTTTCATATGAACTTTACTCACCTTTGAACAATTATTTCTATCTTTTCTCTAATGGTCTGTAATATGGTTTTGAACAATTTGCCTTTTTTGGGGATGCGATGTTTTGAACAATAGGGCTACAATGACATTTTGATTTTTACAAATATGCTGAGATTTTATTCATTGCATATACAAACCTATCTTATAACTTGAAAAAACAAAAGCAAACAC